TTTTTTTTTTTGGTACGAGGGATCAGACTCAGGTCCTGGCACTTGCAAGACAGGTGGCAGCACCACTGAGCTAAATCCCCAGCCCGGCTTTAGTTTTATTTTTGAGACAGGGTTTCACTAGTAGCCTAGGCTAGCCTCAAACTAGCTACATAGACCATGCTGGCCTTCAATTTACAGTCCTCCTGCCTCAGCCTCCTGAGTGCTAGGACTGCAGGCATGCGTCACTGTACATGACTTTCCCCTTCCTATTTACAGTAAGTCTTCGAGTTCCAGTGTGGAGTCACACACCTCATCTGGTCACCTCTAGCGGCGAGGGCCATGACCGGGCCGCTGCAGACTGAGCTCTGAAGGGCGAGACAGGGTGCTGGGCGCACTACACTCTCAAAGTCTGGCACAAAGCCTCCCGGTTTCATCTCTATCCCCGCCTGCTCCCCTTCTTACTCCCCTGGGGACCTCAGGGACATCGCAAACAGCATTGTAAGACAGAACTCTCAAATTAAACAAGACCAAACAAACATTTCTCCTGGTAAACGGTGACCCACTAAGAACAAAACCCACAGTCCCTCCAGATCCCTCATTCCTAACTCCGCATCTGGCCTTCAGCAACCCTGGAGCCGTCCTGCATCTGCTGTCACCCCACCTCTCAGCGACAGTCCCGGGCCCCTTGCTCCTCCTAGCCCTCCAGGCGGGATGAGGAGCTGGGGCTTGGCGTCCTGGTTCCGTCACCTCCAGGCTGTGTCCGATAAAGCAGATGCCCGCCCGGCTCCGGGCCTCCCTTCCCAATCTGGCCCCGGGTCAGATACCTGCACCGGCGTCATATACGGGAACCCCAGGTCCCGCAGGACACCCAGCACCTGCGGGTGCAGCGGCACCGGCAGCGACTCCCAGGAGCCCTCGGTAATGTGCTCCATGGCGCGCTACTCAGTCACTTTGGTCTCAGATGCCCGCAACGCCGACGGTGTAGCTCCAGCGAGCACTTCCGTTTCCGGAGAGCCAGCATCCGGCCGAGAACACTGACAGAGCGGCAACGTTCCGACGTGCAAGGAAGGCGTTCTGGCCCCCGGCTAGAGGGAGGCGCCTACCGGGGAGCGGAAGCGAATGCGCGACGGGGTCGAAGCACCAGCCACCCTGGCTGAGGCTACCTTCCCCAAACGTGGAGCAGGCATTTCGGCGGGAAGGACTCTGGCCCGGCTCTTCCATTTCCTGCACCAGTCGGAGGCAGGTGGCGGCACGACTCCACGTCCGGGGCACGAAAGGGCGGGCGGCGGGGACCCAGCGCCCGGGAGGTTCGGCCTCCTTCCGGGAAGCTCCTCAGCGAGAAGGCTTCCCGGGTCCGTGCTCCACCCGCGCGGGGCTCCCGGGACCGATCCCCTCCAGACGCGCGCGCGCCTCGCTCCCTCGCTCCCCGCTTTTCAGATGGCCGCCGTCTCGGGGGCGGCTTTCCTGTTCCCGCCACAGCGTTTACCTCTGACACTGTAGAAGGCTCATCTCCCCTCTGGACGGTTAGCCCTACCCGGGGTTTCTCCGAACGTAACTGCTGCACACGAGTCAGATTGTGCGACGGATGAACGGGAGGAGGAAGAAGTGGCCCTCGTGCACACTTCCAGACAGCTCGGAAGCAAGTGCACGGGGCTGCACAGCTGTCGGTCTCTGGCCCGTCTGCTAGTTCTCTAATCTTCAGACCTTTTCCAGGCCCAGTCCCTTGTTCCCAAAGTGATGAAGTGCTGAGCCATAGGCCAAAGCACCGAAAGCATTTAGCCCAGGCCAGGCCCTTACACGTACTGGGAGGGCCTGGCTCCACTCCTACAAGCCCTCAGTGGAAGGGACAGAGGGACAGTTTCTACAGCAAGTCTCTGCCCTCTGAGGCCTAGGGCAAACCCTTTACTCTCGAATCCATTTCCCACATCCATAAACGAGATGGTTAAGCCACACGAATTCACGTTATTTTCCAAATTTTAAAAAAATGGAAATTAAAATTGGGTTCCTGCTCACTATTCTACTTTATAGAAATAAAAAGTAAGACATTTATAGTTGGTATAACTACATAAAACGTGGAAATGGCTCATCTCAAATAATAGAAAGTTGGTATTTAACAAAAGTGAGTCAACCATTGTCAATATAAAACACAGAACACTGACTGTTTTTAAAAAGAATTGTTTATTTTCTGAACCTGGGGCATATTAGATACACAACCAATTTTAAATGTACATATTTTAATTCAATTTTGAAGTGTTTCCACACAAAAAATTGGCATGCAACAGCTGTCCTAAGGTGAAACAGTCACCTTATCAATAAACTGTTGCAAGAATTTTCACCCAAGGTTGAAAAATTATCCTGAACGTGAAAATCTGTAACAAATTTAAATTAACTATATAAAATTGTTCTTATAGTTTTCCCCTTGCAAAGATCCAAAAAAAAAAAAAAAAATGTACAAGTAACTAATATACATCAGTCACAACATAATCCTGGATCACTCCCACACCAAACCCAGAAGCTCCTTTTATCTTAAACCCATCATCAGAGAGCAAGAAAGTCTTCATTTTATACAAAACAAAATTCTCATGTGCCAAAAAAGAAAGACCCAGGAGAAACAAAAACAAGAACCATAGTGCTGACACTGACTGGTGTTCAGTGCCCTGAAAAAAAAAAAAAAAAATACAAGTAACTAATATACATCAGTCACAACATAATCCTGGATCACTCCCACACCAAACCCAGAAGCTCCTTTTATCTTAAACCCATCATCAGAGAGCAAGAAAGTCTTCATTTTATACAAAACAAAATTCTCATGTGCCAAAAAAGAAAGACCCAGGAGAAACAAAAACAAGAACCATAGTGCTGACACTGACTGGTGTTCAGTGCCCTGAATGAAGAAAAAATAGTGGCTGTTTATCACTGCAAAGAAACCCAAGAGACTTTTACCCTTTGGCATCAGAAATCCCAATTTTTCCAATGATGTGATTGCATATTTCCTACGTGCCAAGAGTGGAGAAAGGGGATATGCCATGCAGAAGAGCTGGCATTCGTGAAATACTCGGGGAATTGGTTTAACAGAGGTTCCGCGGGAGGCCAGGCAGAAACCAAACCAGTTCATTTCACTGCGTAGGTCACCAGTTTAAGTGGAAGGTGATCAGTCTTAGGGTTCAGTGGGAAAATTTAGGGGGAATGGTGTGTGGGGGCAAGTCCCAGACTGAAGCACACCAGGGGAAGTATAAAAGAAGCCAGCCTGCTACACACTCCCAAGTCAGAGCACAAGATGTCAGGATGGAAATCACCGTTTCATGTGCAGCTGGGCAGTCAAATGTAATGACTCGAGCCACAGGAGGGAGGCCAGAGACTGTAGTCATTTTAGCAAGGTACTGAAGGTTTATACCAAATTCCTGAACAAATTTTTTTAATGAAAACAAGAAGAAAATGCATAATAAAAAACTAGACTCCTGTATTCTGTTTACAGTGTTTAAATTCTAGAAGGACCTGTATAACAAAGGCAGCATTCAAATAAGAAATTTTATGCCAATCAAATGTCAAATTTTCACCCAGGGATTTAGCTCAGTGGTTCCACCGTATGCCTCGCAAGCACAAGGTCCCAAATTCAATCCCCAGTACAAAAAAAAAGCCAAATTTTCACTATAACTTTCCTAAAAAAGTATCCTTCCAGTATCCATTATCACAAAGAAACTTAAGCCATGAACGTACAGTTCCAAAAATAAAAATGTAGAAACTAATGACACTATTATGACCAAGGTGTTTGGTAAACAAGTGAATTATGAGTAGGATCATGAGAAAAGGGCCTTTTAAACAACCCTCCGGACTTCAAAAAATCTCTTCAGGTAGTAGATCTGTCCCAATGTCATGGCAACTAGAACAAGAGCTTCAAAGAAGGACCAAAGGACCACTCTGCTGTTTGTGTTGTCATTGACTGTTGGAGACAAAAAAAAAACAAAAACAGACTTTAACAGCAATGCAATCCCCAAAAGGAGTAAGTATTACAGATTATTTTCTGTTCTTTACTCTGTATCACAGTAGTACTTTGAACCCCACTAACAGAACTTTTGTTCCTGGATAACTTGGCATACACGTTTAGTTCTAAAGGGGCCTTACTGGTCTCTCAAGTACAGCCAAGCCTACTGTGCTTAAGTTCAGGGAAGACAGCGAAAGCAACTCACCAAGCTCACACTTCTGAGATTAACTCCAGTGCAACACATGCACCATGAACATCCTACATTATAAGACTTTTAGCTGAGTAAGAAAACTGACTTTAGAAAAATAAAGATTATTTCAAGATCATAGTTTAACAGAAAGCACAATCTACCAAGTTAAAATATGCCAATCTAAGTGTATTTTTCCTTAAATATTTACTCACCAAAATATTTACTGAGCACCTGCTATGTTCCTGGCTCTTATTTTAGATGGGAAAAGCTTCTCAGTTTCATGGACTGGTTATGGCAGTTACTACCAGACTGCCAAACACCAGCTGTTCTCATCACGTATCTCATTCTCAAGCTAAGGATTTGATTCTTAAAGGAAAAGCCAGGACTACTTTATAGCCACTGCTCACTTTGTCACATTTTCCATCTGATAGTGACTTTTCCATTGTTACTTCTGTACACTACTAGGTAGTCCCCCAACTTCTCCTAAATGACCTAATGTTGAAAACAATTACAATTGCTAATACTAACCACTGAAAAAGTGGCTGCCATATTTTTAAATACATGCCACTCACAAGATTGAACAGATCTGTAATCACTCAGAAGTGAAAAGCAACTAGCGCTTTTCTAAAAGGATAATATTGTTGCTCAAAAAATCATGTAATTTTTTCCAAAAATAACAGACAAATGCACAGAACATTAACTAGATCTACCAAAAGCACTAAAATTTTAGTACTAATTCCATAATATGAAAAGCTCACTTCTGCTGGTAACCACATTTTAGCATAACTGAATGACTAACATGATAAGATTATGTCTGAAAAACGAATGGTTGAATAAACACTTCAAAATATTAAGCAACTATTAAAGTTGTTTTACCAATAAGTGTTTTGTTCCCCCAAAAAAATACAAAACAAAACTTCCTTAAAGAAAATAAAATAAAGGGCTGAGGATTTTAGCTCAGTGGTTCCAGCGCCTGCTTTGCAAACACAGGGACTGGAGTTTGATTCCCAGTGTCAAAAAAATTAATTGTAAAATAAATAAATAAAGGTGTCCAGAGGTATAGAAAAATGAGTTTCTTAAAATGTTTAAGAAACAGGATATGAAACTGTATATAGCTTTACTCACTTATATCAAAATTCCTATTTCTAGGGAAAAAGCAAGCTCACTGGACAAAGTGGCACACACCTATAATCCCAGCATTTCTGGGAGACTGAGGCAGAAGAATCTCAAATTCAGCTGGTGCCAGGGCAACACAGCGAGACCCTGTCTCAAAATAAAAAAAGGGCTGGAGATATAGCATAGTGTCAAGGCCCTGGGTTTAATCTCTAATACCACCAAGAATGAATGAATTAAAACAGCTGGGGATACAGCTCAGAGTGAAGACCCTGGTTCCAATCCCCAGGATCAGCCCTTCCCAAAATAGGATTTAAAAATGAAAAAACAGGCTACAAAAAAAAATACTTAAATATAACAGTCTGGTTTGATGGTACACACCTGTAATCCCAGCATCGTGACAGCTGAGACAGGAGAATGCCAAGTTCTAGCCTGTCCTGGGCAACTAATTTAGCAAGATCCACTCTCCAGACAAAAAAAAAAAAGCACCACAGTTTCTAATAGCTAATGGGAACAGCCCAATTGCCCATCAACTGGAGACTAGATAAACAAGATGTAGTTTTTTTATGAAATGGAGTACTACTAAGCCATGAGAATGAGGAACTAGAGACATTTACAGCTAAATGACGCATATTGAGGCCATACCCTCAAGTGAAATAAATAGGGGACACGTGTAAATACCGAACTGTCTCTGGTGTGAGAAAGTGAAAGTATAAACAAGGGTCAAAATGTATAATAGATAAGGTGGAACAGGAAGAAAAGGTCTAAAGGAGAAGAAGTAAAAGGGGTAGGGGAAAGGAAAGAAGGGAAAGGAATAAAAATGAAAAAGGAAAATAAAAACATATAAAATAAGTGTAGGGCCAGGAATGTAGCTTGGCCGCACACCAACTGTAAGTCCAAGGCCCTGAGTTTGATTCTAGGTACCAAAAATAATTAAGTGTGGATTAAACTCAGTATGAAGGTCCTGGGTTCAATCTCCAGTTAAAAAAAAAACAACAACAAAACAACAAAACAACAAAAACCAAACAAAAAAAAAAACAAAACCAGTTAAGCCAGGCATGGTAGTGCACACCTATAGTCCCAGTACTTGGGAGGCTGAGGCAGGAGGATCAATCTGAGTTCTAGACCAGACGGCTACACAGTCAGTTCCAGATCAGCCTCAACTACATAGTGGGACTCTTGTCTCAAAAAAAAACAGTTAACAGGGATTGTCTTGAATGTAGACTAATAGGGCATCAACCACTGACCACATCCTCCCAGTCCTTTTATTCATTTTTTGGGGGGTGGGGGGGTATTGGGGATCAAACCCAGGTCCTGCACTTGTGAGGTAGGTGGCAGAACCACTGAGCTACATCCCCAGCCCCCTAGTCCTTTTATTTTGAGACAGTCTCACTAAGTTGCCCAAGAAGGACTTGAACTTGCAACCCTCCTCATTCCGCCTCCCTGGTACTGAGGTATTAGGCTAGGATATTCAGATATCTTTATTTCTCTCTTTATACTTTTCTGTATTTTCAAAATTTTCAACCTGAATAGTATTCTCTTTTTTCTCCCTAATTATGATACTGTATTTTATCTGAGAAATTTACCACATGGTTTCTTAGTTCTGAATGTGAAAAATACTAGTTTCTTCTTTCTCTATAGAAAACTGCATCTACGGCCAGGGATGTAGTTCAGTGGCACCATGCCTGCCTTGCAAGGGCAAGGTCCTAAGTTCCATCTCTGGTACTGCAAAAAAACAAGAAAAATGCAACTAACTAGAATGCACAGAAGCATAGCACAGGAACACAGCCACCTCAGAAAGTGTGTGGAAGAGCCAGGGATTTAGCTCAGTGGTTCCACCGCCTGCCTCACAAGCTCAAGGACCCGAGTTCGATCCCTGGCACCAAAAAAAGAAAGAAAAGAAAGTGAGTGGAAGACGCTGCCTTGTGCTATTCACTAAGAAGAGTGGTCCAGAGCCCACCGAGCAGTGTCACAGCACTCCCGGGAACACAGGGTCTCCTCACGGTCAGCAGAGGAGTCTGTGGTGTGAGAGTCACCTAAAAATCACCACTGTGAGAACCAATGCATCTCCAAAGCTAAACCAAGTATCTGAAAATTCAGTTCTCAAAAAAGAGTATCTCCACTGAGGGCAAGAAAACAAAGCTGGACACCTCCACAGACTAGAAGACAGGTGCTTCACCAGAACTCTGTCTACCTTTAAAGTCTTGTGAGCCAGGTGTCGTGTGCACGCCTATAATTCCAGTACTTGGGAGGCTGAGGCAGGAGAATCACTACAAGTACAAGGCTAGCCTGGGCTACATATTGAGTTCAGGGCTAGCCTGAACTATAAAGAGAGACCCTGCCTCAAAAAACCAAAAAATAAAGTCATGTGTTCTCTTTTCAAAACTGCAAAGCAATGAATGTCCTTAGCCCTCATATTTTCACCCCAGGATGCGCTGGCTCCACCCAGGGAGCAAGGTAAGCAACAGAAGGGTCCCTTACAGTTGAGAAGAGGTGGCTGTCCTGGAGGTGAAGGGGCGTGGTGAAGAGAAAGACTGCGCAGGAGGCAGGACAGGCTTCACTCTGCCCCCCAGAAGGGCCAGGGGCTTCTCCAGCCTCCTGCACCCCCATCACCTGCCCAGGGAGGGAAGCTGGCCCAGAGCTTGTAGCCTTCTCCCCACTGAAGGCGGGAGGACCCCATCATCTCCGCAGTGCCTCCTCTCCACTCCCCACCCAATTCCGAGCAGAGACAGCTGGCTGAACCACTCTGCTCACGGACGAGCGCTGGGGCTCGGGCTGAGATCTATGCAGAGGAGCTACTGAGAGGACAGAAGCTGGGAAAGGCAGGCCTGGATCTGGCCTAAACTACAGTATTTGGTTTGCGTGTCAGTATGGAAACACTGAATTTCAAGGCAAAAGCTTAATATTTAATTCTGTATCTAGTGCTAGGCAAACTTTTGCAATTCACCCAAGATTCCAATCATTACTGTTTGCACAGAAAAATACATTCCAAGTTCCTAACTTAGAAACCAGAAGCCAAACTCATCCTTACTCTAGTGACTTCCCTGCCTTCACATTTTCTATTCTTACTAGTGTGAGCCTTTCCTTGCAAAAAAAAAGTTAAACCTCACAATGTAGTATTGATCACACTGGAAAAAAGTTTTAGGTTTGTGATTAAAGCCAGTATTTTAAAATCTATTTTACAATGTTTTTCCCCTATGCATTAAAAAAAATTATTAGCTTAATCCTTAGCTGATCATCATTTTTTTTTAACTCTTAAGAGCTTATGCTGAATCTTAATAGTATTTTCAGTATACAAGGAATGTCCTAATAATAAGCCACCTTAAATTCTACAAATGTGTGCACTAACCCAGGCATAGAGGCACACACCTGTAATACCGCCCCTCAGGAGGCTGATAGGAGGATCACTGCAAGTCTGACTGAGGCCAGCCTGGGCTTCATAAGGAGTTCAAGGCCAGCCTGAATGACATAGCAAGACCCTGTCTCAAACACACAAAGTGTGTATACATAAAAAATCTTTGTGTAGATGCTTTTACAAAAAACTCACAAGTGCTGAGTGCAGCACCTGTGATCCCAGATACTTGGGAGGCTGAGGCAGGAGATTCCAAAGTTCAAAGCCAATCTATACAACTTAGCAAGACCCCATCTCCAATTTTTAAAAAGGGCTGTGGACATAGCTCAGTGGTAGAGTATACCTGGGTTTGACCCTACTACCAAAAAAAAAAAAAAAAAAAAAAGCCAAAGCATGATTATGTCTGCACAACTGTTAATGAGGACAAGCTGCAGGCCGACTTCCCCAGGCATGCGCTCCAGCCAGAGCGTGAACTCACTGGCTCTGTGTATCCTCTCCCGGACCTCCATGTACTCCTGCTCATGCTTCACAGCTGTCATCGCTACTGCCAGCTCATTGATCATCTCTTCCAGCTTGTTCTGGTGAGCTGCAGGGGACAAGAGCACATCAGTCAGGGGTCATGGGGAAAGACGACACAGTCAAGTACTTCCCAGAGAAGGAGAACAGAAGAAGCTACTTTTAGAAATGGAGCAGATGTCAATTAAGAACACAGGCATGAACCGCTAAGCACAATTCTCAAGACATTTTTTTAAAAATCCATTCTCAGACTGGACATGGTAGCGCACGCCTGTGATCCCAGCACTTGGGAGGCTGAGGCAGGAGGATCACCGTGAGTTTGAGGCCAGCCTGGGCTACACAGTGGCCAGCCTGCACTACATAGAGAGACCCTGTCTCAAAAACACAAAAACAAAGTCCATTCTCAGTAGAGAAACCTCTTCAGAGTAAGAAGCATACTGTTCAGCGCTGACTACAGGAAACCCTAGGAAATGTCTACTAATGAGCTGAGGCTGTCATGTCAAGTTCACAATACTGACTACTAACTAAAGATGACAGAGAGAAAATAGCGCACAGGCAAGTATGGATATTTGAACCCCCAAATCGTATAAATAACAAAATTTAAACTAAACTTGGGGGCCGGGGATTTAGCTTAGTGGTTCTGCCACCTGCTTCGCAAGCAAAAGGACCCAAGTTCAATCCCTGGTACCACAAAAAAAAAAAAAAAAAAAAAAAAAAAGGGATGATAAACTAGAATTGAAATCTACTTTAAAAAAATCACATCAGCTGGGCGTGGTGGCGCATTGTGATCCCAGCACTTGGGAGGCTGAGGCAGGAAGACTGCTGTGAGTCCGAAACCAGCCTGGTCTACATAGTGAGTTCCAGGTCAGTCTCAACTACATAGTGAGACCCTGTCTCAAAAAAAACCAAAAAATAAAATAAAATAAAAAAGTAAAAAATCACATAAACCATCTCTCATGCATGCACTCGCTCACGCTCTCTCTTCCCTTTTCCCCCACCTTCAAATAAATTGTCTTCTTTTACTTTAAAAAAATAAATAAATACAAAATAAAAATCACATAAACCAGACATGATGACACATGCTTGTAATCAGCAATCCTGAGAGGCTGAGGCAGGAGGATTCTAAGTGTGAGTCCAGCCTGAACACTTTAGCATGACCCTCTCTCAAAACAGAGGACGGCAGGGATTTATCTCAGTGGCCCTGCGCCTGCCTCGTAAGTGAAAGGTCCTGAGTTCAATCCCTAGTACTACTACCAAAAAAAAAAACAAAAAAAAAACATAACTTTAATTTAGGAGCAACTTGAAAGTAAAACTTTTAAACTCTATGAAACTAAGGAGAGAAAAACATGAAGACGCTCTTGGGAAATCCTACACCAACTCAAACATTTTTCTATGACAAAGTAATGTTTTCAATACAGTAATGTTTTCACAAAGGCAGGCATTTTGAGTAAATAGCCAAACTCAACTGTACAAGTTTTCAACCATGTAGTCTCTTTTACCAAAAATGAACACAAAGACTAGGCTTCTAATTAGTGCTGCACTGTGACACCGAAGAAGCCACCGGCGAGGTGGGAATCTCTCCAGCCCTGCCCACCCCAGGCCTTGGAGCCCCATTCACCACACAAGAACCTAAATGGAAGCAAAGCTGCAGCCCCACATAGGGGACTGGCACGGGAATCACAAAGCACCCTCGCCAGCTTCGCTCTGGAAGCCCCATGCACCATGGAACCTTCAGAGCAGGGTTTCTGAGGAGTGGCACTGGTGACGTTAGGACCTGTCCCATGACTGTCATGGGGAGCTGCCCAATGCACCGGAGGACATTCAGTGGCACCAACAGTCCTCAGCCCCTCAGAGGCCAGCAGCACCCACCCACCTCAGTCTTGAATTTGACAAAGTCTCCGGGTAACTATCAAACGTCCCAAGGGGCGAAGACCACCCCCCCACTTGAGAAGCCCTGCTTCAGAAGAAGGCTCAAGTTGACAGCTGCTGTTCACTGACACTAACAAGCAAAAGCAAGAATTTTAGATACTGTATTAAAGGGTTACTTAAGAAGTTCAATATCACATTCACAGCCAATATTTTCTCACCACTTAAATTGGACCAATTTTCAAAAAAATGAATAAACACAAAGCCCTTCAAAAACTCCCTATTTAGGGGCCAGGAAGTTGGCCCAGTGGTTCCGCCATTTGCCTCACAAGTTCAAGGACCTGAGTTCGATCCCCAGTACAAAAAAAAAAATATTTATTCCACCAAAACTCTTAATTGACCTTGAGAATTAGCCAAGCCCAACCCCACAAGTGGTCCTGAAAAAATAAGCACAAGAATTGCCAAGTAGTGTAACTCTCAATTGCTCAGATTTCACCTCACATGGCTCTCATCTCAGTAATTTCAGCACCCCACTGATCGTGAAATATCTGGGACATATGTTCCCATGCCGACAGTATGGGATTTTAAACAACTGCCAGCTTCCAAAACCCCTAACAGGAACTGTGTGTTGAGGGCATGGTCTGCTGGCTTTTAATAAGCAATTTATTCGAGAGAACCAATCAGCATTCGCTACTGGTCAGCTGAACAATAAACAATCTCTCTGAATCTACGGCCAAGAGACCTTTTTCATCATTAGCCACATGTGGCCTTTTAATTACCTTTCACATCTAACCACACTCTGAGTCAGAAACTTTCAATAATAATAAGCAGGACAAAATTAAAAATAATAATAAGTGAATCCATAAAACAAAGTCAAAGCACTACTTGCGATTGTTCTATTTAATCAAGTCTCCTCTATGTGGGATACTCCTATAATCTCAGCATTTGGAAGGCTGACATCAACCTGTACTATGTAACAAGTTCAAGGCCAACCCGGCCTACATTAAAAAAAAAACCCTGTCTCAAAAATTTAAAATAACCTCAGGCTGGGGATTTAGCTCAGTGGTTCTGCCGCCTGACTCAAAAATTTAAAATAACCTAATCCATGTCTCATATCAACCAAATAAACCATCAAAAAATAATCAACCTAATTAGTTGAAAGAAAAAACACTCTCATGCCAACAGTTAGAAAAAGGAAAGCAGAAATTAGACATTAGCAAACAAAAAGATGCAAAAAAAGAAAAGAAAAAACAAGCTATCAAAAAGCAATCCACATACCATCCCAGGTATCTCCACCACCTAAAGAAAAGTGTGAGATATAAACAAAAACACCAAGAAATATACATATATGTACATATATTAACTAAACTAGTTAGGTCTAGGAATGAGCAAATAAAGGGACTATATCCCAGAATTGCCAAATTAACAGAACAACCTAAGATACAGGTAACCTAGATGCTTACAGGAGCACAAAGTGATAAGAAAAGCTGCCAGAGGGCAAACTAGAAACAACAACAACAACAAATTAACTTTCAGAAACTTTATGTTGATTAAGAGACTTAAATAAATGAAAATTAAAGTATGTGCCGGGTGTGGTGGCGCAGGCCTGTAATCCCAGCACTGGGGAGGCTGAGGTAGGAGGATCGCTGTGAGTTGGAGACCAGCCTGGAATACATAGTGAGCTCCAGGTCAGTCTCAACTAAATAGTGAGACCCTGTCTCAATAAACCAAAAAAAAAAAAAAAAAATTAAAGTACATTTCATAACAAGTTTTTGGTTTAAGAACAGTGAATGGACAGGGAATAAGAAATCTTTAAAAAATGTACAGAATTAAAATCAGCTCTTGGAGAAGGATAAAATGCTTCCAAATGGCTGGGGATGTAGCTCAATGGTTGCACCACCTGCCTCACAAGTGCAATGTCCCGAATTCGATCCCTGGTACCGAAGGAAAAAAAAAAAAAAAAAAAAAAAAGTTTTCGTCTCACCTTCTGTTTCCATGTCTTGGCCTTTAGGAGCCTCCCCGATGTCAATGGTGAACATCACTATCTTTGGAGTCATGGTAGACATCCTGTTACTGAAACAAAACTTGTATGTTCCGTCCATGTGAGCAGCAAATGTGTACTTCCCACTGGACTCACGGTCTCCTTTGTAAATCCCTTTATTATCAGGTCCTGTAATCTGGAGGCAGAAGAGAAATAAAAATGTCACATGACATCACAGCCCTTGTAAGAAACGTCTCCTGGCACAGGAAACTAATATGGAATTCTCACTTAGCTCCACTTCAGTTACCTGACAGCAACCACTGGCTCCCATCCTCCCACTTCATGAAACAAGGCTCTGCTCTGGGAGGCACCCTTCAGCTCTGGCTGCATTACATCTTACTGTCCAAGTGAAACTCAAATCCCTCAGAAACAAACTACAACTTACACATAAGTCTGCAACTGGCCTAATAGCATCAACAAACATTTGAACATATGGCTGATGTTTTTTTAAAAATCAATTTAGAATGAGTATTTTTATAAAACTACATTTCAGGGTTCTTCTAACTACTGATACAACGAAAGAACTGCTTTATCAAATATGCCTATTGAGGCTCAACGGAAAGGACTAGATAGATAGGATATTAGAAGAACCAAATTTTCATCCCAGGCTGCTACAAACCAGCTGTTATGCCACGGGCGGGTCAGTTTTTTTAAGCCCCTGTCTCTTGTCAAATTTGGCTGGAAAGCTGATCTCTGAGGTCTTAGCTAACTCAAAGAGCCTCTTTTGTATTGTGTAATTTGCGACCAGCTCTACTGCCCTTCGCTGACAAATGAAGAATCTACAAACCCAATTAGTCAAGCTACCGGGCGAATTAAAATATTAATTACACTTCGCACCAGTCATTACTCCTAAAACACGCAGTCAACTCATCTCCCAGGCAGAGCGGGCGAGACAAAGTAGGGAGCCTGATATAAACCATTAAGATCGTTTCTATGGAAGTTAAAGAAAAAACCTAACTTCTGCCTAGCTTTCCATCTACTTTTTGAGAAGTCTTCACGCCCAGTCCCGACGCGATTCGGTAACAAGGAGAGCAGCTGCCGACCGGATCGGGACCGCACCACCAATCGCGACCGAGTCTCGGCGCCCTTGGGGCGGGGAATGACACGCGGCGCCTGGGCGACAAAGCCGCGCGACGGGGGATCCTAGGGGCCCCGCCGTCCTGCCTAGCTTTCCATCTACTTTTTGAGAAGTCTTCACGCCCAGTCCCGACGCGATTCGGTAACAAGGAGAGCAGCTGCCGACCGGATCGGGACCGCACCACCAATCGCGACCGAGTCTCGGCGCCCTTGGGGCGGGGAATGACACGCGGCGCCTGGGCGACAAAGCCGCGCGACGGGGGATCCTAGGGGCCCCGCCGTCCGGCCGCGGACTCGCGGCGCCC